AAAAATATATATATATATATAAAAATTCTGAATGGAAATGAAGCTTTTTTCTCCTCTGAAGTGAAAGCAAAGCAATTTGCTTGGCACAAACCTCCCCGTTCTCCTTCAGCCAGTCCAAGGAGGTGCCTGGAGGTCCAGCTGCCCGTGGCCAAGCTGAGCCACGTCCAGGTTGGTGAGGGTAAAAGTGCAATTCCTACCCTAAATCGTGCCACCAAGCCAATTCTGTCTTGAGGAAATGGATGCTGGGCTCCAGGGAGGCATTGCACCTCCCAGAAATGATTCCATATGGTCAAAGGGGTCTCTGTGGCAGGGAAAAATCAGGACCAGAGGCTGGAAGTGGAATCCTTCCTCTGCCTGGCATCAGGGTGCAATCCAGACAGGGATTTTGCCCCAAAACCTGCCAGCCTGATGTGTAATACAGGTCCTGTGCAGTACATTATCCACTACCATGCCCTGCTTAGTACAATCCTTCTCTTTTTCTCCTTTCCATTCTCCATGAAACAACAGGAAATACAAATCAAAGCAGAACAAAAGCCACAGATCTCGAGTAAGGCAAGTTAAGCAGAAAGCATATACCTACAACAAAACATCTGATAAAACAACCTGCCCATCTACTGCATAAAATCATTGTAGAGCAGCAGAACACCTGCTAAACAACCTGGTTTTTGGTCTTTCAGAAAAAAAAAATAATTAAAAAAATAGAAAAACCTCTCCGTGCTCAGGAGCTAAGAGGAGAGCTGGATTTGTTTCGTTTCAAGTCAGAGGAAACAGTGAGAAAGTACACTTAAAATGTGATTTTTTTGTTGTTTTTGTGTTAAGCTCACAAGTCACGTCCTCGAGCTCTCTTCAGGGCTGATCCACTTGCACACAAACCTCTCATGAACTACAGTCAGTGCTCATGATATTTTGGTTTTGTTTTGTTTCAAGCCTTGCTCTTACCAGGCAAGCATAGAAGAGTATTTGAGGTCTTTATTTTTGTTTTTTTTTTGAGTATTTCTGGAAGTTTACCCCAGACTGCCACCAGCGCTGTTGTCTGAGGTGAGGGGTGCAGGGGACAGAACTCAACCAGCTGCTGGGAATACAACACCACCAGTACAGATACACTCAAACACACGCTTTTCAACACTGGAAAACACACCAAGGCTTTATAAAACAGATGCCACTTGTTAGGAGGCATCCTTGGCTCCACCAAGAGATTTTAGAGAGTGAAGGACCTGTGAATTTTATGTGAATAGGGCCACTGATATGAGCTGGAGTCTCAGAGGAACCAGAAAGCAGAGCATATTCTTAACTCTATCTGGTGCAGCCTCGAAAGAGAGAGCCTTAGAGACAAGAACATATTAATATTCTGATTGTGACTACTCTTTTTCAATTTTAAAACCTGAATTCTTTGGAATTCTTTTCCATTTGCTGAAATTTTCAGGGGGTCTGGAAAAAAAAAGCAAACAACACCCTGTGATAGAGTACAAACCTCATCTTTCCAAATCAAGTTCACGCTAAGCCAGATAACGTCACAAAAACCCTGGGCATTGTCAGAAGTCATCTTTTTCCCCCAAGACAGACAATGTTAAATGGCCAATTAAGCAATGTAATCATGCAACTGAAGGTGGAGGTCAACCATGCAGCTAACAGCAATGATGGCAAGTGTACCTGATTATCATGAAGGTTTTCTGCTCCTGGTCGAGGGGACGACTCTTCACACACCGCAAGACTCCGGACGAGTTTTCCTTTAGCTCCTGACTGGAGAAGAGAGAGAGAAAACAAACCAGAGAACACTGCTACTGACCCCAAGCCACATCAGCTGCTTCTAAATACCCCCAAATAACTCCTGCCCCTGTGGACAAGACAATTTTATCTGCCTTTGTATGCGGATAGAAAAGGATCCTAAGCAACGAGCCTTTTCCCACACAGGGGAGGTGGGAGGTTTTCTGCCTCTGCTTTGAATCATTCCTGATGAAGTTCACTCACTCCTACCAAAAATCCTTAACAGCAAAGAATAGATAAGCCACTACTGAAAGCAGTTTAACAGGAACTCAAAGGTTCCTTCTGCTACTTGGTTTTGAGGGGCGTTTTCTCACCCTCCTCTTCTCCTGGTAGTATTACATGCACTGAACACAGCCAATAAAACATGCAAGTTTTTATGGATCTGCATTTGGAAAATTAAAAGGAGGTGTTTGGGGTTGGTTTTTTAGTTCCTAGAATTTCCTCCCCAAGGGAGTTTGTCAGTCTCGGCCTCTTTATGCCAAGATTAATCTATTAAAATACAATCCCTCAAACCCATTAATTACTAGAGCAGGAGGAATGAGCTTTTCCCTTCCCCAGTGGTGCACAGAAGTACATGGATGGGCACAAGCACACAGCGAGCCCTGCAGAACACAAAGATGATGGATAAAGAAAGGGGAGCCTGACATTTCATCTAGAGGAAATCATCCACCTTAGTGCAGCAAGACTATGGGGTAAGGCAGAGAAAATGAAAAATAAATAAATTAAAAGAAATACAAACAAACAGCCACCACCCAGGGGATGAAAGGCCATCATTGCAACTGCAGACAGACACTGGATTAAGTCCTTTATCCTGCCATGGCATGCAACTCCAGGGATGGAGCCTTACCTTGGACCTCTTTTTCTGCTGGTTCAAATTCCCACCTCGTTTCTGGGCCGAGCAAAAAAGAGAAGCAGTTATTGCTTCAGTGGAAACGTTGTATGGCAACAGCATTACCAATAAATACACTAAATCACTCCTGAAATAATACTTTATTCAGTGGCTGACTGCAAAAACAGCTTCCCCAAACCCAATCTGGAAAACAGGGAAAACCAAGAATCATCTCTGCTCACGTTATTCATTTTAGGAACAGGTACAAACAACAACAATCCACTGCAGAGTGTTCTGTCATTTTGCAGAGAATAAAAATGTATAGAAAAGGTATAAAGTAAATGCTCCCCCTCTCCAAATTCCTCCTAAATTGCAGTCTCCCCCTTTATTTTTCTAGTCTATTGAGCAAAAAGGATTAAAACCCCTCATTTGATTATCAAATTACCTTCTTAGGCTTTGCATAACAACTTTTTGTTGGCAGTAACACCTACAAACCAAACCACACATTAAGTCATTATTCATTAGTGTTACCTGGAAATTCATGAGATCAAGGTAGCTTTCTAAATCCCCAAAGAGGGAAAACAATCTAATATTTCACCCAGCTTTAACAGAGAGGTCTAGAAATTAACTTCTCAGAAAAATTAATAACACAGACAGCAGCCTAAAGAACTTGAAAGGTATAAAAAAAACCCAACAAAAGCATTTATTTTATAGGGAGATAAAAGGATTCGAATTGAATAAAGCAATAAAATAAAAGGGACACAAAATTATGATAGGGGGAAAAAAAAATAGGGGAAGTATAAGCAATGGAAGAGAACATAGGAATGGAAAGGCAATGGTCACACACTGATATTTAACTGTCCTACCTGCAGCTCTGTCTTGGCATCACTCGGCTTCTCCTCCTTCTCCTCCACTTCTGAGCTCTCAGATTTATTAAGGATACAGTTGTCTGGGTTCCCTTCAGAGATGGGAATCTTCTGCTCCTTCACAGCTTCCTCCCCTGTCTCCTGGTTCAATTTGCCTTGCTCGGACATTCTTCCAGACAGAAATTAAAACAACAAGATTTGAGGACCTGAAAGGTCAAGATACCACGACACGAAGACATACACACACACACAGAAAAACACCAGGGGTGAATTTTGATTTAGGCAGTTTGCTTTAATCCCCAAGTAAGCAATTGTATTCCCTTTGAGAAGCAAACCAAGATGCACAGCTCAGGAGTGGGGAGCTACGTGTGTGTGTCCCAGCTGAAGGGAGGCACTGGCTGGACAATACTGGATAACAGCAGGGCTGTGTAAGGGTAAAGCAGCAGAGCTCTGATCCCAACAGCCTTGGGGGAGAGCAGATTTCAGGCAAGGTGCTGGGATCCCTCACCCTGGGAGGGTAGGCAAGGACCATGAGGGACTGTCCACGACAGAGCTCAGCAGCATCAAGGACCCATTCAGACATCCAGCTCTTAATGCTTCCCTCCTCTAGATATTTTTTTCCCCAGTCTTCTTTTACTTGGCAATAAAAAATAGCCAAAACAAAGAGAAATAAACACCAAGGGTGACCAACAACACTGGAGCACTCAGCCATGCTTTGTGTGCCTAGCAGAAGCCCATGGTGCTCACCACCAGTTTAAATTAAAAATATATATATATAAAAATTCAAGAGGTAATAATTCAATATACATAAGAAATCTAAATTTGGCCAATAATGCTCTCAGGGTCAGCGTTTTCAGGCATCAACCTGACAGCTCCATTATTAAAATTCTAAGCCTCTTCCCAAACCCCCCATGTCACTCTCCAGCACTAGGAAAATCCTACAGGAAGCCCCTGGCAGGTATTTCTAATGAAGATATCTGATCTGAGCTGCATTTACTCCCCACTCACAATAGGTTGTTGTACAGAAGCTTTAAAGGCTTTTCAAAGTTAAAGCCTATTATTATTATTATT